CCCTGCGTATGGATTTAGCAACGGATAGTAATTACATAGTGGAAAATTCACGTAATTAGAAGTTAATTAAATTAGACCGTGTAGAATTTAAGCTTAACCAGTAAACACTTGTCATTATGAATAATTAAAAACAATAAGGCTAATATTGATGCATCTTTAGTAGTCTTACGGAGGTAATATTTACTCGTGTTGGTAGAATTTTAATTATCCTGTTAATTTACCAAAGCTTAGTTATAGTTTCTTCTTAAAATGTTGGAAATATTAAGCGTAGGGATTTTAGTATATTATATTTTATTGAAATTTTTCCTAAATGGTAGCTCATAGTTTCAATCAAGTAATAGTAATTTTATTCACGTACGTGTTTTTACTACACCCCCTCCCCTCACCTCCCAAACTCCTCAACAAAAACGTACAGTTCAAGAAAACCTGTCGCAGAATTTCATTTCCCACTTGAATAATAAATGTGTGTCGTCAAGTTAGAATGCGTGTCAGTTTTTACCCAGGTGAACACAAATTGCATACTGGCTGGGCAGTGGCTGTAATCCTAACGCTTTAAATAACATTCAAATATATGTTTAAAATAACAACCTGTATCTTGCACCATCGCTATACTTTGGCACTAATCTAATTTTCTGAAGATAGCAATGCATGACAAAATCTAAAAACAATGACATAGTGAGACGAAAGGGTTCCCATGCATGCACCCAAGCTAAATAATTTTTGATAACTATGTTGTCTACCTGCAGGATGTCTACTTTAATAGTTTTGATGTTAACCTTGCCATCTCTTTCCCATGGTCCCCATAATTGAGGGTTATACCCTCTACCCCCCCCCCCCCCCCCAAGACGCATATTGGTGGGAATTTTTATATATTCTTTTATATCTTCGATGTCTTTGAAATTTGATTTTCGTTCATGACAAATATAAAAATAACATAAATTAATCATTTTAAAAACGATTTATGCGACTTTTATGAGACTTGACTTATAGCAGAAAATGGTACACCGGGAAGTGAGCCGTTTGAAACAATTTTGGATGAGGTATATCCAGAATTATGGCAATGTCTATACTTTCTATACTTTCGATCTCCTTTTTCATACTATCTGCCTTCGACGTTTCTATACTTTCTATACTTTCGAACTGCTTTTTCATACCAACTGCCTTTGACAAATCAGATGTCTATAGTTTCTATACTATCGAAATGCCCTTTCATACTAACTGCCTTTGACAAAGCAGATGTCTATAGTTTCTATACTTTCTATACTTTCGATCAGCTTTTTCCTATAACTGTCTATAACAAATCAGATGTCTATAGTTTCTATACTTTCTATACTTTCTATTCTTTCTATCTGCTATTTCCCAGAACTGTCTCCGACAAATCAAATGTCTATAGTTTCTATACTTTCTATACTTTCGATCTGCTTTTCCCCATAACTGTCTTCGACATATCAGATGTCTATACTTTCTATACTTTCTATACTTTCGATCTGCTTTTTCCCATAACTGTCTTCGACAAATCAAATGTCTATAGTTTCTATACTTTCTATACTTTCGATCTGCTTTTTCCCATAACTGTCTTCGACATATCAGATGTCTATACTTTCTATACTTTCTATACTTTCGATCTGCTTTTCCCCATAACTGTCTTCGACAAATCAAATGTCTATAGTTTCTATACTTTCTATACTTTCGATCTGCTTTTTCCCATAACTGTCTTCGACATATCAGATGTCTATACTTTCTATACTTTCGATCTGCTTTTCCCCATAACTGTCTTCGACAAATCAAATGTCTATAGTTTCTATACTTTCTATACTTTCGATCTGCTTTTTTCCAACTGTCTTCGACAAATCAGATGTTTTTATTCTATACTTTCTATACTTTCAAGAAACTTATGACGTCACATATTGTTTTACAATGTATAGAAAGTATCGAAAGTATAGAAAGTATAGACATAGGGATTTCACCAAAATGTAAAGTATAGAAAGTATCGAAAGTATAGACATAGGGTATTCACCAAAATCAAAAGTATAGACAGTATAGAAAGTATAGACATGTATAGACTTTAGAGAGTCCAATCGTCTAAGACTGAAAAAGTATCATTTAAAAAAAAGCAGTTCGAAAGTATAGAAAGTATAGAATATGCCATAATTTTGGATATACATGTTTTGGATAGCCTAAAATATTTCTGAATCCTTCTGAATCCTTGTCTGGGGTTATTATGCCCACTACTTTTAAACTATATGTACCCTTTGGGCCTGAAATTCGTCTATTTGAGAGTTTTAAATATTCTAGGAACCCAAGACCTTTTAAAATCAAAGGTCAAATATGATTGCCATCAATAGTTCTATACTACAAGTCCAAATAAACCATCATAGTGTTAAAAATGTAAGAATCAGTGTTATATAAAAAATCCTAAACAGAACCACGTCATGTTCTTGACGATTGCATTCAAGTTATAGCTCTGCAGGTGTTTTGAATGTGATCATTTGGTTTATATTGCATTTATTTAATATGTGTTTCTAACTTCTGCCGTAAATGATCAAATAACCCAAATGCGAGTAGAAATAATCTTGATTTACGTCATTAAAAATTCAAAACTCAGTCAAAGTAATATCATATTTAAAATCTACATGTAAAATTACATCTAGAAATGTGGTTTTAAAAAGTGTTTATCAACTTTGAAAAATTAATTTTCTTTGAAAATGTGACTTCTAGCTCGGGGAGATTCCCCATAGACCCCATGCTATAAAATCACAAAAAATGAAATATCTTTTCTTTTAGTGGACAGATAATATTTTGCTTTACTGGACATATTTTCATTAGTATAAGTATCAGACACATAAGGGTTATATTACAATTAAGCCACTTAAATTGATAATATTCAAGTTTAAGGGAACTTTCTTATATACCTGCCATGTTAATTGACCCGAATCAGCCACCTGGTGATGAAACTGGTAACTACCTACTCGCATTTGGGTTATTGAGCCCACCCACTTTTTAACTTTCTTTTAAAAGGCATTCAATTATCCAATAATTATAGAATCTACAAGTCAGTAGATGTTCGTTAAATACGAATTAGTTTTGTGTCCCAGTGTATTCTTCATTTGAATCTAGAAATGGACGTTTTTGCCACAAATCATATAAAACACCATTTAATAATCTTGCGTACAACAGCATCATTTGAAAACATAAATGAGCAACTTGGCGTAACAATAATATGACAATGGTAAGAGTGAATTACGTCAGGACATAGCATCCTAACAGAGCACATATATATATCAGGTGTCCCAAAAAATGAGCCACTTTTTGACAAGTATAATCTCGGCAACTGATGATCCAAATTCACTGAAAATTTGTACAAAGTAGTCTAAGAGTATCTTTAGCAAGTTGTTAAAATATAAAAAAGATCAAGTACATATTCTGTGAGTTCTAAGAAATTCAAAACAGCATGTCAAAAATTCCCATACCGGAGCTCTGATATGAAACTTCAAAAATGTTTGTACCAGCTATCGTCTTCGCACGCTCAGTCTTCATTGTGTTTGATGGGAGCCGAGTGATATCTGATTAATTCTTTTCATTCATCCCAAATATCCAAAATCCAATTCATTCTCAAATTCATTGGAGGTGATATTGTAAGAAAAAATGCAGAAAAGTATTTTACTTGGAAATGTATTAATAAGTGAGTTTTACATTGATATTGGTTATTTTGACATACTGTCTTTAATTCTAAAATACACACATACTATGAGACCAATCTCTTACATATTCATGGCACTAGCAGAGGATAACCTAAAATGCCTAAGGGAAAGTTCTCGAAGAATTTGGCTCATCTATTGCTGAGAAATTACTTGTCAAATTGCTTCTCATTTTTTGGGTAGAAATGCTATTAGGTTCACATTGCATTGCTCCGGTATGGGCTATTATGACATGCTATCTTGAATTTCTTAGTACTCACATAATATTTACTTGACCTTTCTCATATTTTTTATACCTTGCTACCAATACTCCTGGGCTACTTTGTACAAATTTTCAGTGAATTTGGTTCATCAGTTGCTGAGATAATACTTGTCAAAAAGTGGCTCAATTTTTTGGGGACACCTGATATATTATTATTATGGGCTTTACTATACTCGTATCCCACATTTGGGCAAAGTGTACAGCTTAAAGAGAAAAAAATGAAAAAGCTTAACTAAATATCTATATATTATATTAACTAATCAAAGGGTGCTTGATCATTGCAAGATTTTATTGGGTGCATTTCGTATGACTATATTGCTACATTTTGAATTCAAAATCCGGTATTTTCAAGAAAAGTGTGACAAAATCCCCTGATGGAGTCAAAATATGTATTTTGGTGACTTAGTGACTTTATTATCTGACCTCGTGAAAAGAATGTTGATGTTGGAAGTCCTACTCGTGAGACTTTTTTACTTGTGGAAAATTTTTATATGCACTTTCCCATTTTCCTACATCAATAACATTGTCATGTTTCTAGAAGCAGCAAAATTAGATTCATGCAATGGTGTTGCTCACCTTTATTGGTGGTAAACAAAATGCTAAATTCAATAAAGGCTGAAAGTTAAGAACAAAAACTCCATAATCGCAGTTTCATCTGACAAGATTTAATGAATTTGTTTTTTGCAAGGCGGCTCCCTTCCCTATCCCACCGCATTCCTTTCTAAGCATGAAGGTGTGAATGCATGTTTTGGGAAGGAAAGGAGGCATCAATATGAAAAAATATGAAAAAAACACTCAAAAAGCACTACATGTCGTGAGGTTGATAATCCAAGAATTGTCCTTCTAGGCATCATGGCAATCAATTTTTAAAAATTGTATATCAGTAGTTCAAACGCTGTTATATCATTTACCTTAACGGTTGTTAATCATTCTCGAGTCGTTTTTAGAACAAGAGAAGAAGTTCCTCAAGGTTTTCGCTAAACAAGTATATTAACATATTTTTACGTAAGAAAACATGCAAAAATCAAAATATAACTTACCTCTTTTTCTATATTCATCGAAATCCATTTTGCCAAATGCTAACGAACTTCAACTTGTGCCTTTGACAATGTGAGAACTTATGTAAACGCAAAATAGAAAATTTATTTCGAAAGAAAATTAAATCCAAATCTTATGTTACCAATTGCTAAATATTATCACTTGATGTTCAAACAATCCATTTAAAGCTTTTACAACAATTTGTTTATTTTATCTAATCTCTAAAACGCTGATAATTCAAATAGTAAAAGAAATACAAATAGATCGTATTTTATAATTTCCATTGCCGATACATGATACGAAAATAGTTTTTTTTATGTTGACAATATGACTTGTAAACGCACAAAAGAATGATGCTTTGTCTTAGACATTTGCTTTTATGTCATTTCTAAATGTCAGTGGTCGCAGGCCATTGGCCAGTATTATGCGGAGTTATTGGTTATTGGTTAATATATGAATGACGTCATCCAAACTAGAAATTCCAATACTGAACAGAAGGTAGACTGTAAATCTAGTAAATCTAGTAAATCTCGTAAAACTCGTAAATCTAGTAAATCTAGTAAAATCTAGTAAAATCTAGTAAACTTTTTAGGGACCATTCATTTGATATCAATGTTGAAGTCTCTATGAAGAGTATTGGTGATTATGATTCTTTTTTAGAGCAATGCATTATTGTCCCAACGAACGGGAAGCTAACTCGAATACTACGAAGCCAATTCTCTCTATATTTGATGGAAAGATGTATAATGGTCATACTTTTTATGGACTTTTCATCAAGACGGCCATTTAAAAATGGCGGGAATTTTTCGTAGAAATATAAGTTAGACATTCTCAAAAAGTAATAAACATTACTGTTAGCAATTTCGGCAGTATGCTCACAACATACATGTATATCTTTTGATATATTATTGAGCCTGACTGCCATGAGCGATGAATGGGGAGGGGGGGGGGGTATTCAAACACTATGCAAAATATGAATATGAATGCTTATTGCATGGTCAAGACGTGAGGTAATTTCCCACAAAATCATAAAGGATGCATGTAGATTGCAAAGATGAGCATCCAAACGGTGCCACCACATACCTGTTACAAAAAGACCTTCTCTGCGTTAAAATTCAGAGTCATTCCTTTTATCAAAAAATAATCAATATCCAAAATTTTGAACAAAATTGTGAAATATTATAATAAAAAAGAATGTTTAAGGGGCCGATATGATATGGCTTTAAACTATTAATTACAAGGAATATAAGGAACATATCATCAAAACGTAAATGGAAACAAGCCTGTGTCATTTAGTGGTACGCATTGTCCCCTCAGTCCTTTAATGTGTGGCTTAATTTGTTAATAGAGCATGCTTCTTGGGTGGGTTGTGTATGATGATAAAATGGGTGTACCATTTGATAACCATTTTGTTATCCAATACTAACATATAGTTGTTATTTTGTAACTAAATATAATGAAATAAAATATAAATATCTTAGACATTAGATAATCAAGTTTTTACAAGATTTTACGAGATTTACGAGATTTTACTAGATTAACTAGATTTACAAGATTTACTAGATTTACTAGATTTACAGTCTACCCGAACAGAAGCCTTCTATTCACATTTGCTCTACGACGGTCGTAGTACGGCGGCCGTAGCTTCAAAAAATCGATATAGAGAATGTACATCATACTGCTTATCTTTATATTTTATGCTGCATATTTCTATCGATTTTGGGATTTTGTGCGGTTGCCGTAGATTAAATCTGACTGAGACAATAGGCAGGATATAATAACTCATTAATTATTGGCATGGTTGGTCTCAAACCTTCTGAGTTGACTAAGAATTGATGAAAGTTTTGTTCAACATAAGTGGTTTTTGTGTACATCTCTACATTTTTGGTGACTGCCAATCAAATCGCGATGTCCATTTTTAGTGTTCCAACAATACGCCACGCTGGCCAAGTACTGCTTGGACATGCACATTTGAAGTTATAGTGTGTGCCAAAACTCCAGAAAATCACAAAAACCTATGTTGTGGTAGCTTACTATGAAGTGACCCATTAGCATTATAGATTGGTCCATCAACTATTCATTTTTACTTGTCTGCACTCAAAAAGGTGACACGAATGGGCTAAACGGCTCGCCACAAGGTGCAACCATCAAAAAGATGAGTTTGATAAAAAAATATTTTTTTCAAATAATAGCAATGGGTATACAATACGAGGGGTGATCAATAAGTAATGGGCACTTTTTTACATGGATGCTTTTTATGGACCAATCTCTTTGATTTTTTCACCAGTGATACATCATTCAATTATCTATCGACTCTGAAGATTTGAAGACAAGATATGTAATGCCTGTTAATATATCTTTATTTTCGTGAAGGGGGTACAGGTACCCCGGGACCGACATTTACGTCACATATTCTGAAGTAATGCCAATTTAGCATATCAGTTAGATTTGAACTTTTTTGATATGTCAAAAGAATTGTGTTGAATATCATGCTGCCTGTGGTAACACATTAAAATATTATAGTATCGTAATGTCAAAATGTTGTATGGTCAGGGTTTGCAGGTTGATTTGAGAATGGACTGTGGAAGAAGGGACTTATTAAGTAAGAGGAGGTAACATTGTACTCCATGTGGATAATGCCCCTGCCTCAAACTGTGCAGGATACAATATCCCTGGACCTGAACATGAAGCCCTTGGCCCATGCAGCCTTTAGTCCAGCTCTGGCCACACATGACTTATTTATTTCTATACTACTTATTTCTGTAGAGAAAGGATGCAGGTTTAATGACATTGATGAAATAAAACCAGCTGTGTAACTGCAGCTTGCTACCATGTCAGAGAATGGATTCAGCTAAGTGTATTTCAATCTTGGGTTAAGAGGATAATGAGGGGTGTGTAGCACTTGATGGAACCTATGTAGAGGGCCTTGTAGAATGAAGGCGGCATGGATGCCCCAAAGTGATGACGAAATATATTCAAAATCAATTATGGCATATCAAATTGGTGTAATTCATGACCATCATGGTTCCTTTAGTTCAACTTGCATTAAACTGCATTGCACGTTAATTGAGCTAAATAGCTTCAGAATGTGTGACGTTATGTCGGTCCCGGGGTACCTATACCTCCTTCACAGAAATAAAGATATACCAAAATATATACCATTTTCATAAAAAACAATAATTGTGAAGAATATATATTTCTGACCTGAAAATACCATCTTAATTCAAAGTCATGGTTGTTAATGATAATATTCCTATTTCACCTATTCAATGAATGTTTTCAAAATATTTTGATTACCATTATATTCATTTTTGGCAAAGTAAATAAATATAGGGCTCACACAAGGATCAACTTTATTTGCAATATTTTCATATTTAGTGATGTTTTGAAAAATATAAGCTTAAACACAATTTTATTTGTTAAATGTTTAACAAAATAAAGATAGTGTGTTTATTTCATTGTTTGAACTGAAAAATCGCAATTCATTGCTCTTCCTCTTAGAACGGCAGAGGATATACAAGTACATCAACAGTTTTAAAAAACGTTGATCCTTGTGTAAGCCCTACACTTATTTACTTTGCCAGAAACTGATATAATGGTTATTCGTCGGTATGAAAAACATTTCAAAGGTAGAAAAGGAAGAATGTCATTGAACTTGGAATAAAAAGCATTATATGGTTAGAAATACCCAATTTTTACCATAAATGTTTTTAATAATATAACCATACCCTAATGGACTATCTTTACATTTCAATAACCAATGTGCATTATATTTTGCATGTTTTACTGCAATTATTTGTAAAAAAAAAATTTATATCAAGTACATTTTTGACTTGAAAGTGAAGAGACAATGCTCAAATATAATATTATTTGTCACATTTGGTTATTTCACCCAAACAGATTCGGGATTTTTTAGTCCAGGCATATGAAGAAACTAGTGTGAATTAAATATTATTTGTTGTTTGATTTAGCTAAACATAATATGTTAAACTTGCTTTGGCCATTAAACTTTAAATTTGCTTTGAATTTAGATTTTGGGAAACACATCCGCTTACTGATCCAATTCAGAACTACTAGAACTCTCGTGAAAAACTTCGTCAACGTGACTGTTGATTACTGATTGCAGTCATGCAGTCATTAAACTAATGACCTCATATTTGGATATTCTCTCTTCTGATATGATTTTACAATTCACTTCAAATTGGCAAAGGACCAGGTATAGTATGACAAGTGATATCTGACGGTCATATATTTTAACAAGACTACTTTCTCAATATAAATACGTGTATGACATTTCTCAAAAACACAATATGTTATCTTTCTAGAAAATTCAATTCTCAATGATTATAAAAATATCATTCGAACAATCTAAAAACCAAAATTATGCTGAAAACAATGGATAGTTTGAGTTTTTCCAATGGAAAATAACATGGAATTTGTGGTTTTTAACTTTATCACTTTTCAATACCCGTCCCCTTTTCAGAATTTGTTAATTCATGAGCGTAGAGAAACTTTTGATATATTCAAATTAAGAAAAAATACTTCAGAAAATAAGCCTAATATTTTTCAAAAAGTGACAAGGTGGGGATCTTATCAATAATATTTCAGATATATTTTCATATATTTATAATTTCAATTTATTCATACATTCAAGCATTATGTTTACGAATATTATTAATAACAGGTGGCATCACAGGTGATGCTTATACCCGTACATATAGTTGTAAATTCATGTAGTGTATCATTAAGTTGTCAAGGAATCAAACCAGAATGAAATCATAAAAAATAAGTTGAAAATAAGTTGTGGGGGATTCATGATGTTTTTTCTTTTCAAGTGAAGAAGTTGGATGATATCATTTTATCACGGAAAAAAAAATCATATTGTTTTCACAAAACACGTTCAGCCCCAAAACGCCAAATACTAATTAGATATTGAGCTATGACCTTGAAATGATCTTGATTCATAAACACTGACATATGGATCTCTGGTCACTTTATCATTGGTCATTAAATAGGACTGTAGCCCCACAGTTGCCAACTACCTAGATATTGACCTTTGACCTTGAAATGACCTTGACACCAGGTCACCTAATCATTGGTCGCCAAAGTTCACAATTGTTCTCAATTGCCCTTAAACTCCAAATTGCTAGATATTGACCTTGGAAGCCACTCTATCATGAGTCGCTAGCTACGGCAGATCCCAGGGCCTTAATAGCTTACACCAAATACTTAGATACTGATATTTGACCTTGGAATAACCTTGACCTCAGGTCACACATTCATGATTCACAAAGGGTAACCTCAGCCCCAAAACGCCAAATACTTAGATATTGATGACCTTGAAATGATCTTGACCTATAGACCTTGACCCTGACAACAGACCACCTAATAATCAGTTGTCAAGGGTCAGAATTGTTCTCAATTGTCTTAAAGCACCAAATTTTATGAACAAAACATGCGAAGTTGAAAACTGGTATCTGTATTGCAAAAGTAATATTTAAATTGAATAAACCAAAAGAGATGTAATTTCACATCAGATTTAGTAAAGTTATAACTCTTAAGTAAATGTTGCAATGAATGCTCACACATATCTTGTTGCATATCAATCAATCTATTAACTGCTACGGGTATCACTCTGACACGTATCTGTGAACAAATCAAACTTCTTTGATGGTGGTGTAATACAAATTGGTATCTTTTAATATGACGTCCGTAAGATAAACCACTATCAATACCAGGATTGTCAAAACTTGGCATTAATAAAATCAATTCCCGTCTTATCACTGTCACACCCATTACTACATGCCCCCCCCCCCCCCCCGGATCCCCCACTGGTCCTTTTCAGAATTTTTCATAGGATGCGAATATGTAAAGGGAGGATTGTACGATTGATCTGAAAGAAATCACGGGAACTCGGAAATGCAAGGACATTATATTATTATTATTATTATGAGCTTTATTATACTTGTATCCCACATTTGGGCAAAGTGTACAGCTTAAACAGAAAAAAAATGAAAAAGCTTAACTAATTATCTATATAGTATATTAACTAATCAAAGGGTGCTTGATCATTGATAAATAGATGTCACTCGAGATCTTTCATTGAAATAGCATCATGATTTCGTTTTACTTTTTCAGGTCCAAATAGTTGTTCATCTAGTGAAATTGCACCTGTTTCCGGCAACAAAGAAAAGTTAAAAACTGAACAAAAGGTAAGATTTCTAGAGTATCCATGACTTTGAATCGAAATTTATTAAAGTTAAAAAGATGAAAACTATAGAGAGGCAAATATGCACTAATAAATAAATCACGGTTAAGAAGCGATTGATACAAATTGTAGTTATCAGTTTGATTTTTTCAAATGATGATGAAAAATAAGAAAACAATCAATGTCAGTGTTATATTCTTCTCTGGTTCGTGGTATGTTGTAGTCCTACAAGCATCCAATCCCATGAACTTGGTATTTCGTTACGTCACTTCCATGTAAAATGGATTTGTTTCCGGTAAGAGGGAATTTCGAAAATTTCGGACACTATTTTCAATATTTACTGCCATGTCGACATCCTATGCTCTTAACTGTATACCGAATGGTTTAACAATGTTTCTTACCGGAAACAAATCCATTTTACACGGAAGTGACATAACGAAGTACCAAGTTCGTGCTATTACGGAAAAGTTCGGGAAATTCCGTTATAACCGCCATCTTAATCGAACTTTGACCAAAAGAGCCATAAGAAACAAAAAGACCTCGTTCTACCAACTAACCCAGACAATCGGCGGTTCCAATATATTAGAAGTTACATTTTGAGTTCTAGAATGCATTGAGGTAGGTTTCTTAAGTGGAAGGGGCGTAGATAATTCTCCCAAGTTGTAATCGTACAGGCAAATGTATGCGCTCAGTACAGGACTAAAGTCCTGGTACGGGATAATCTAAATCCATCCAACCAGCTGCCAGAACGGATGCATACAAGTTCAACTACTTTCCAAGGACAGTAGTAAAATGTAACACTCTATCAAGTGACATTTTAGACAGTGATAGCAAGTGCCCATTTTTAAATTTTCTGTCAGCAAGCAGCAATTAAACTCAATTGTGTTTTAGCAATAGGTTTATGGTGAATGTTTTTAATGAAGAATGTTAAACTATAGATACATGTATCTGCTTGAAATGGATTTTTTAGCCTTTTGTTGATTATTGATGTAGATGTAGATTGATAACTGGCATTCACTATATTTGGGATGGTAGTTACTAGAAAGTGGGAATACATGGATATTATTGGTTGGTCGTTTGGAAATATCTGAATGGTGCCTATTATATTTTATCATTGATCAGGCGCGTGTCCAGTGTTGCCCAGGAGGGGCTACAATGTGACCTTTTCAAATAAGCATGAAACATACACTTCTTCAGGGGCATGCTCCCCACCTGCTGTAGTTATAAATTCAAACAATGGCATCTGAATAACTGAGGCAGAGTGTGCTAGTCAGCATTTGGCATCTGTAACATATTGTTACATGTTTGTAACCATTTGTAGTAACATATTGGGTGGTGGCACATTAATGCTGTTGCTATCTCTTATTTGAGTTCCCCTTTGGTTACTATATTTGCACATAGCCATCTTTAGATCAATCCAAAGATGGCTATGTACAAATATATTAACCCCTTGGATATGTGCATGTAAATTCAATCTTAATTAGCGTGTTATAGCTATTAAATACTCATTAATTACCAATTATCATGTTTAGTCTACAGACAGCTGTGACCAAAAAATATGATCAGTGGTCACAAATAGACTAGATGCGAGTAGAAATAATCTTGATTTATAATATTCAAAATTCAATCAAAGTGATGTCATTTTTTTGAAAATGTGACTTCCCATATACCCCATGCTACAAAATCACAAAATGTGAATTATTTTTTCTTGTATTGGACAGATAACATTTTCTTTTATTGGACATATTTTAATTTGCATAACTATTAGACACATAAGGGTAACATGAAAATTGAACCACGCAAATAGATGTAATTTAAGTTAAAAGGAACTTTCTTCTATACCCGCCATACTATCTGACCCGAACGAGCCACCTGGTGGTGAATCTGGTAACTACCTACTCGCATCTGCGTAATATTGAGTTTCAGATTCTCAGATTCATTTGTTCAACACTGAGAACAAACACATAGCCAGTATTCTTTCCTGTAATGCCTGTTTTACAGGTTTTCTCACTAATATTCAAATGATATCCCTTACATTTCTATATTAATTTCTCTATTCTAAATTTAGATTGTTGATAATGTTTTAAGGTCACTACCAAGTGATGATATATTAATACATTTTTCTGCATTATGCTGATATTCACACATTTGTATCACTATTTTCAATAACTTTGTCATGTTTTAAAATACCTGAATGGCATACTGCAATAAATTGGATATGATCAAAAACTTTTCATCTTTTTGTGTAATAGAAAATGTTCATGCCAAGCTATTGGGTCCTCTCAGTATAGCACATTTACATTGTAACATCTGTCTTCTATATAAACATCTGCTATTGTTCAGTTCATGTTTAATATCAGCTATGAGAATGAAGAGATGTATTTGAATTACAGTATTTGTTAATGTCTATAAATTGCATTTTAACCAGCTTCTTAATTTAAGCGTTTGGATTTTTTAAAGTTCAGATACAATTATAGTGGAAGTAGGGAGATGAGATTCTGAATTGTAATTTATCATGTCTCGAAACGATATCAATCTTAGATTGGTTTCATTTTTCAATGATGTGACCAAATATTTTCACATTCCTAAATCAAGTATTATGTCACCACCAAAAAGTGTTTTTTGTGACGGCGGTTGGTGGTTGACTGTTGGGGGTTGGCGATCGGTGTCTGTAACAATTTCTTACAACTTCCAATAACTTGACAAATACTTCTATGTAAGTTCATCTCTCTGGTTAATATATCAGAAACAAGTCAAATTCTTTACTTCAGAGAATATTTTTAATTTATTGAGACTTTCGACTAATATCCCTTAGTCTTTTTCAAAATATAACAGCATGTATACATTTATGTGACGTCATAAACAGACAATGGAAAATTTAATTATGTAACAAATGACCTAGTAACCTAAAAAATAACAACAACAAAAAACATAGATACGAAAAAACGAATGACCTAATAATAACCTTAAGATAAATATATCATCGTTATGGTAACATATATAACATATATTTTCGTATCTATGTTTTTTGTTGTTGTTATTTTTTAGGTTTCTAGGTCATTTGTTACATAATTAAATTTTCCATTGTCTGTTTATGACGTCACATAAATGTATACATGCTGTTATATTTTGAAAAAGACTAAGGGATATTAGTCGAAAGTCTCAATAAATTAAAAATATTCTCTGAAGTAAAGAATTTGACTTGTTTCTGATTGACAAATACTGTTTAGACTGACTTCAATTTTACATCTACAAGTTTTCAGAAGTTCAAATCTGACTCTAGAATTAGATTTGACCTTTTATGACCTTTCAAGGTCAAAAAAGGCTCAAAGGGTCTTTTTTAAAACTTGCTTCAAATTGACCAATTTTCTTCTTCAAAATTATCTACAAGTTTTCAGAAGTTCAAATCTGACTCTAGAACTAAGCTTTTCAAGGTTAAAAAATGTATTTTTTCAATTTGCTTCAAATTGACCAATTTTTTTCAAAATCATCTACAAGTTCTCAAAAGTTCAAATCTGAAAAAAAGATTTGACCTTCAATGACATTTTCAAGGTCAAAAAAGATTTGAACTTCAATGACCTTCTCAAGGTCAAAAAGGTAATTTTTCAACTGACCAATTTTAGTTTTCAAAATCATCTACAAGTTTTCAGAAGTTCAAATCTGACTCTAGAATTAAGATATGACCTTCGATGACCTTTTCAAGGTAAAAAAGGGTTAAATTATGTCTTTTTTCAACTTTCTTCAACTCGACCAATTTTTCACAATCATCTTCAAGTTCTCAGAAGTTCAAATCTGACTTTAGATTTGAGATTTCACCTTCAATGGCTTCTCAGGGTCAAAAACTTGTTTCAAATTGACCATTTTTTCAAAATCATCTCAGAAATTCAAATCTGACTAAGATTGAATTCATAATATTGTGAGCAACTAGGTGGTGACATTTTGTCATGTTAATGCCTGTGTATGAGTGTTTCAGTACAGATTTTTTGAAAATGGATGTAGAAAATTTGGATTATTGGATAAAACTATAATTCATGAATCAATCAAAAGTATAGTATGTTGAAATTTGTTCAATTTATAAACATTTCTTGATTGTGTTGCATTTATCTCCAGGTGGACTTCAAGATGGGGACACCATCATTCAGTCACATGCTAAGCACGGTGGTCCAAGACGCAGTCTACAAGTTGTGTACCAAACACATGACGTTCTCTAAGCAGTTAGAAATTGATGCAATAATCTGTCTTGCAGCCGACACACAAGAACAGGAAGTGACAATAAAGATGCATAGAACTGTCGTTAAATCTAAACAAGACCCAGAGCTTACATATTATAATTCACCTTCGATTCGAGGAACTTATGAGCTGGACAAAGATCCACGATTTAACTTGTCGTCTGAACAGATGGAGAATATGATGAAATATTACGAGTTCTCAAATTCTGGTTTGTTGAAAAACCAATACAGGAATTATGACATGTCAGTTTTAAACACAACGGAAGAAGACAAAACCTCCAATGTTAAAACCACCATTCAGGAAACTACAGATGAAGGAACAATCAGTAAGGATAAGCAGTTAGATGATCAAAACCAAAGTGAATCTATAAGGGTTTCAAGCAGCATTAACCCATCTGACTCTGACCAGAATATTTATAAGGAGCTACAACACAAAACCAAACCAAAGAGGGATCACACAGGGCCAAGTGCAATAGAACAGTTAACAGCGGAAAGATGTCTTTACAGTGCAAATGATGAATCTCAGAGAGCTAAAAATAGTGTTTGGAGCAAAAGTGGAACATGGGATAAAGCAAAATCTCCTGATGTGTCAATATGGAATAAAACGGGAGGTGATGTACCTCCTGTAGATGAGGTTACACACCATGAAGAAGAAGATGTCCATGATGAAGAACTTAATGAAACCATGAGAGAACCCTTACCTAGACTGGAGCATAAGCACTCACAAGGTAAAATGCAAAAGAAGTTTTTCAAAAAAATTATCCCAAAGAACAAATTTACAGCAATATAGCGTTTGTCATTCCGGGAAAGTACTAAAATATTAGTGAACTGATTTTGCTGGAAAGATGTGTGTAGAAGGATGGGCCAAAAAAATTTATTATAACCTATTATAAATTTATTATAACCATTGATTTCAAAAGCTATTTTGGCATGGAAAGTTAAGCGAGCAATCATTATCAAAACTGATTGTAAATATTATATTGTGCATACAGTAGAACCTACAATCTGAACACCTGGCTAATTCGAACACCTCCCAATCTGAACACTTTTTTCTGTCCCATTTTTTCCAAATGGCGTTCAGATTAGTCAGGTTTTACTAAACATTTTACAGGCAAAGTAATCATGGCATACATGTATTAATTGTATTGTATTTATATGTTTTTCTGGTGTACCAAAGCTAAATATTCAATTATAATTTCAGAAAATGAAAGTAGCAAAGCTGGAGGCCACCATCATTTAAAAAGATCGTATCCATATCCACCTACGACATCCTCCACTAACTTTCAGTTCAGTGATGCTCCTTTCTCTAAAACATCACGTCCTTCCTCCTTGCCAGATCACCTTGCTGACTCATCTAATGTAAAAGCAGCACTTTCTTCATTCATATACCACCGCAATGATGACACAAACTCTCTTGGGGGTGTGGCAATGATGCCAAATGTCAATGAGACAACAGTTCCTGAGGCTCCAATGCAAGACTTTAATGATATACCAACTACTAAAGCTCCATATGTTAAGGATGAACCACAGGATGTTCAACATGTAGATGAGGAGACAGTTATTGACCAAACGACTGGGGAAAGAACGGAAGAAACAAATTACAGTGAATATATGAAGGCTCTGGCTGCTTTTGAACAATCAAAACTTGAAGGTATACAATATTTGAGTTTTCTTGTTTGTCATGATAAAATGAAAAAAATATAGACTTGCTTAAATTTATTATTAATTTGTATAATGCAGTGTGATATAAATAGAATAACAATAGACACAAAGGTGAAGAAACCTCTGAAATTAAGTTAATTTAGAACTGATCTTATAGGTATTAGTAGCATTAACTTTAATCACACAGTTATAATTTTACTTAATTGCAGTTTTAAAGAATTTCACAGATGTGGATGGAGTACTTTCTGCAGGCTCTGGAATGCCTCCTCATACCACTGAACAATGGCAGATACCTCCTGCATTGCCCCACATGGTAAATGCCAACAAACGATCTCCAAACACAAACTCTCAATCCACCTCGGAAAACACCCAAGGAGAAGGTGGTTCTAATTTTATGTGCTACATGTGTCCCGAACCACGACCATTTCGGTCACTCTTTGGATTTAAATGTCATCAAAAACGGCACACAGGGACATTACCTTATTCGTGCAAGTATTGTAGCAAGTCATTTCATGGAAAGACACATTTGGAGAACCATATAAGGATTCATACAGGAGATAAACCATATCAATGTACTTTATGCAAGAAAGCATTCACTGAAAAAGGCAATCTCAAGCAGCATATGACCAAGCATGCAATGAAGTCTGATACTGTAAATAAGCAATAGGTATTAAGGAGGGGGGCGTACGTTCAGATAGGGGAGTTCCTAAATACTTAAACACTAGACTAATTTTCAACAGAAAAATGAATGCATTTTAGTGGAGTATGAAACGCTGAAATGAACATTAGACGAGAGGTAATATACTACAATAGTAATAGTAATAGTAATGTAACACTAAGAATAATAAGTTTATGGGATATGCATTGTCCTTTTCATCCTGATAAAAGTGATTATATTAATTACAACAGTCAAATAAGAACCCCTGATTCTAATTATTGTGATTCGGAAGCATCCTTTATGTGATTTTAGATGCTAGAGAACATTTACATTACATGTGAAAATTTTAAAATTGTTTAATCATGTAAAAGGTTTTTTATTATATGGTTGTGCGAGTAGAAAACATCCACCAAGGAAAGCAATCTCAGATTTTATGACAAAATATGCAATATATCTTTAAAGTGCAACAGCTAAACTATTAGTAGTTGAATTTTGGTGGTGCAAATGTATTGTATCAATATCTTTTTATTGTATCAATATATTTTTAAGTGTTCACCAGAAAGGCAATAATGATATATACTATAATACATGTATAAGGTTCGTTCCTCATATGTTTTTTGTATTTTTATTTTTTTTAAATTTTATATTCAATGTTGTCTTTAAGGTCCAAGCATTCAAAATAAGTTGACCATGTAATATTAATTTATTATAATAAGGCTGTAATATTGACCATAATTTAAAAAACTCATCGTTTTCTAGAGTTTATAAAATTATGGTATATCAATTGTTCACCATACAGCCATTCATATTTGATAGTTTTGGTATTGTTTTGGCTGTTGAACCAACCATTTTTTTATTTTGCTTGGCAAGTATGAGTATGCCTGAGATATGGACAATTTCGTTGAAGTAAAGTTAGGTAAAACTTTTAGATAATTGCATAATTGAAATCAAAATTCAATAGATGCAATTTGCTTTTTGTTAGACTTATCAGAATAATTTTGCAATATGCATGGTGCTCTTTTTACAGTAAAACTTGTTTACAAACTTTTTAACAGAACATCTTATGACTACCTTTTGGTCATACATGTATTTTAAGATATTTTTTGCCGCCCATGTCAACAGGACAGGCTGAATCTCTGACATGATATGCTTTAATATTTGCAGAGTAATGTCTATTTATGGTCCAAACTAAATATCATAATGGTTCCACAAATGTTTGGATAGTATTTTAGAGGTACTTTGATACACGTGATATGAAATAGTTAACTTCATAGCATCTCAAAGTACATTGATTTTTAGCGTGATCTAACGTTGACATAATTAGGCTCGAGGCAGAGGCAATTGCTTTTCCTCCATTCTACGGAAAAATATGATGTAAAAGTAAAATGAAACCTTATGATTGCAGTGATTTCCCCATAATTAAAGCAAGTGGGTGAAGTAACCACCTGAGATTTTAAAAACAGGCTTGCACCCACTCGAGAATCCATTTGCACCAACTTAAAAATGTGAAAAATCATGAAAAATGGGCATATTTTGACCAATTTTTATCTGAATTGTGCAAATTTGCATCCATTTGAGAAAAAATCCTGTTGGGAACACTGAACAGTATTATTTCTCACCTTTACCTCATATTTTGTCTCACCTCGCCTTTATTCCATCATAGCTAGGCTCTTGTCTAAAGATATAACTGTATTTAATACATGCTGTCTTTTTATCAGGAATCGATTAAAGAGTTTCAATTTTAGTTTGACCCACTCCCTTTAAAACTTCCACTAACAGAAAAAAGTGTCCAGATTGCTTTATATACAAGTAGTATATCATATATTATTGTATTTGGCCACAAGTATAGGTTAGTTGTACCAAATAGTCTATATTTTATGAGAGTGTAGTTACATTTGCAATGATAAATTCCTGTTTTATAGAAAATCATCTCCATTAATATTGCTAGTAGATTCCTATTTTACTAGATGATATATTATATTTGTTCTTTGATATGTTTATGTGAATAATATATAAAATATTATAATTACATTAAACATAAACCTGTCTTTTGTAATGCTATAGTTAGTTAAAGGCCCCCAACTAAAGTTTGTGATGCTATTTACTGTTGGAATCATTGTGATATAATGGTGGAAACTTTTAATATAGCCGTATAGGTAATTGCAGTAAAATTGTGACATTTTGCAATTTGGACAGACTTTTTCATCCATCTAAAGATATAAAAATGGCCTTGATTGGACATAAGTCACAACCTTTCTGCAGGGGCTTATTAAAAATGTTCACCATTTAAATTTAATGAGCTACCTAAAACATGATCTCATATGTTGAGTTATACCATTTATCTTTAAAGACAACCCCTAATCACACTCTTTTGAGGGTCTTGTACCTTATCACAAATGCCTCCTAAATAAACGCCCTGCAGAATCAAGTGAATAGTGTAGACGCAGATCATTGCCAACATGCCCCTCTTGGTATTGTATTCTTCAACACTGTAATTAGGACTAGTGTAGTTTCAAATTGAAGTAACTACATGTATATGAAATCAATCCATACTTTTTATTACATGTTTCAAATTACGATTAGTACCTAGGAAATAAGTTTAAAGGCTTTAAAGGGATATTCCTCGCCCGATTCCTCGCTAGACCATTTCTCTCCTAATATGGTAGCTATAACCATATATACAATGTCCATATTTAACAAAACACAGAAAAAATGTTTTGATATGATCAAATTAGTGCACATTTCCAGGAGGCTCTCATATTTTAAGATTCCATACAGGAAATGATGTATATGTTCCATATTTAACAAAACACAGAAAAAATGTTTTGATATGATCAAATTAGTGCACATTTCCAGGAGGCTCTCATATTTTAAGATTCCATACAGGAAATGATGTCACAGACTCACAACTTTTATAACCTTGCCCATAACATTAAGAAAGAATTAAATCATAGGAAGAATTGAAAAAGAATATTCAGCTTATTTAGTCTTTATAATAGCTCTATATGAATGGATAAGGTTATACCATTAATTTAGCTGTATTGCAACTGTTGAATAGAACAACAAATGGATGATCTAAGGTATCATTTGTTAGTATTTTTTGCTTTGTGTGATATGATTCAACTTACAGTACTCATTAATACTAGTGACATCTATTTTTGAAATTTTCAATTAGCAAATTACTTCCGGGTGCGCAGAAATGACGTCATTCAGCTGCGCAATCAACAAGGGGCGTCAAAATTCGCCATCTTGAAATTGGCAAAATTTACGTTGCAGAAATTTGACACAATCTGAAGGAAATCGGAAGCATCTGACTTGGAAATCTACATATTTAAGCGGCGTAGAAACCTTTGATAACTCCTTGTACGATATCTGTGTGTTTGTGGCGAATAGCCCCACAACTTTGGAGAGAAATTGACACTGTTTACGGGGATTCTCCCTGTTGAAAAAATAAATTCTAAAAATGGGAACCAAAGATGACGAATACGATTATTTGTTCAAAGGTGAGTCTCATTAGCTAGCTAATAGTTACTCCACTTACATTTCTTAAAACATACTTACACCGCGATATTGATCAAATAACGTCATCAATCGTACATTTTTGAAGGGGGTGGATCTCAACCAGGAAATGACAACTTGTTGATCTGTCATAGGCCTAGATTTCTTATTGTCCGACATTTTTTTCAGAATTCATTCAGAATCTACAACACTGTGGCATATGACTTTAACCTCAATGGCTGAAATGAGTCCAATGAGGATGAAATAGTTTTATTCCAGCAAAAAATGTGTATAAAATCGAATTCACATTCATTTCTGCAACAACTCTAGGTGCATTCATTCACCCTCTGGGTCTCTGAGGATCGTGTTGGCCCCAGGGGTGCATAACGTGCAATGTAAATTTATCAAATATAAGAAATGCTGAAAAGTCCGGATCTGATGTTTTTGACTTTTCTCCCAAGATCTTACCTCGATCTTGAAAATTCTTTCACCACTGGATAGCGGGACCAAAAATCTTCAAAATGAACCCATAAATGCCTCGTTTTATTACAGTAATTATGTGTAATCGTTGCAGATAAGACGAAATTGCATTTCTGACCGGTCTTCTTGACATTTTCGCTGACCTAATTTCAAGTGCGCATGCGTTGCATAAATCAGTGTGATGATCACGTGACGTGACGTAATTTGATGATCACGTGTTGTAATGTTTTCCAATAACCAGTTGGTAAAACTGCTACAGTGGATTCTTGATTCAATATGTTTGTTATCACGTCTTGTATCTGTTCTGGCTTCAAATCAAATCCAAACTTTGGTTTTATGTTATGCGAATAGAGATCATTGATTTATTCCATCGAATACATGATGGTCGAATGAATGATATAAACTCTGTATAGTTCAATAGATGGCAGCAATATTCAATGGCTACTCTCGTCAAATCTCGTGAGAATAGAAGCCACCATAAAGATTTTGTGAACAGTAGCGACAAACGGCGATTTTGCTACAAAATTAGCACAATTCAACCTTCTACAACCACAAAGCTATGGTAATTTTTTGTATAAATCATCAATGTATCCATTTTGTTTATATTTCTCTGTAAATGACGCAGAGATTCTAATCAGAAGATTAAAATAAAGTGAACCGTCAAAAATAATCAAGAAAAACTTAGATTGGCATGAATTTACAAGGATAAACACCGCCTCTAATGCAAGTCCTTACGACAATCCAACGCATTAGAGGCGGTGTTCACCGTCTACAACAACTCTAGTCCAACAACATTAGACCTAGCCTGGGCCTCGTTTCTTATCTGACATGTCTTATGGCCCGGCTAGGTCTAACCTCCATGATCATTTTGCCCTTGTTGCGCGTTCCGCAGGTTTCGACCAGCGGAACTAATTAACACTGAAAACATGGTAATATTACATAAAGAATGTGATTCAAGCATGCATACATACCTTATGAATACATACACACCATCCCGTATCCCCCTTAGACCCTATTGATGCATAATTACGAAAATATTGGAGACAGGTTTGGAATTTTACGAAAATGTCGGTCAGTTCCGGTAACATCGAAATTGCAAATCGTTTCAGGAATTGACCGTCATTGCGACACTGCATCAACGAACAGTAGGTTTGCAATTAATAACTAATTTGCGTGTATACAAGCGCTACATAAATCAATCAAAGATACCTGTTATCCTCAAAATTGATCTTTATATCCCGAGTAATCGCGTGATAATTATCAATCTATTTGACAACAATTTCGTTTCAATAGTTTAAATTTTAACCCGGGACGAACAGACACAATGACGGACATGCGGAATGTCATTTTAGAGATTGGTAAGTTTAACCTCATTTTACTTGTATGAATGACCATTTAATACAATAATATTGTGTTGAATCGCTTGATGTTATGTGTTTTTATATTGTTGTCAATTAATAAGTAATTTCATGCGCGTTTAATTAATAACTGATAGTGAGAATTTGCAACAAATGAAAGCATACCACGGAAGTTAAACCCAATCACGGCAACAAGAACATTCAGATTAATAAATGAAAGCCGTGGTATTGGGTTTAACTTGTTGAACTACAACAACTCCAGGCCGTCCAACTGTCCCGGAAATTTGCGTATTTGTCACGCATTTGCTGGGAAATTTGAAGTCACGCCAGTTACTTTTGCATGACAGAATATGTCACGCAAATACACATTATACCTGATTATTGTCAAGCAAAAATATTCCTGAAGTCCTGTAGAAAAACTTCAAAAAAGTGATCGCTGATACAGCACAAAACTGACTTATCATGCGGATACCGTATATGTCACACACATTCTTGAAATATTTCGTATAAGGTGTTCCCAAGTTGACAGGTCTGCAACTCCATCTCATTTATTTATCCTTGCACTTACAAACTGTTATCATTTTTCCATTAAAGTTACTATAGAAGACTGTTATAGACATGAACATTCCGTTAATCCTGTATATTTGCCACTTAGGACCGAGTTCTACTTTTTTCACTGCGGCGCTGACTGCGTTGGTAGAACTTAAAAAGTAAGACTTATCTAAAGAATAAGACTGTCACCTGAGAAGCGAGTAAACATTCATGATTGTTAGTACAATCTGTGCATCATGGGATATCATATTGTTGACCGCGTATGTCACTGTACTACACTTGTGAATTATGGGGAATATGACATCGTAATGTTAACAGAAAAAACATGGTAGAAACATAAAATCAACATTAATTTACTAGTGAGTATGCAGTGATGTGCTGAAAACAGAGAATTTGGCTACCACTGTCTTCATATTTTCTTAAAAAATTATTGATGGCCTGGTTCTGAGAAAAGATTGAAATGAAGCCATGGTTGATGATTATCATCTATATTTGTATTATAAGTTTCTTCTGACTAACAGAACAATTGTAGTACATGTACTCTCCATTTGGTCAACCGTCAAAATCATTCACCTTGACTGTAAACCTTACTGTTGACCTCGACCTTCGTTTTCTGTCAACAGTATCTTCTCGGTCTACAGTCTCTGTATACAATTTTGCTGGTTGACCTCTGGAGAGGTCAACAATTGTATGATGTTATATATTCTATCAGCTTTATTTTGTCGATTATTGAGAATTAGCAAAATATCTGATAGAAATAAATGTTAAATCATTTTTCACAAGCTTCATTCAAAGATCGCATCGCCATCTAAGTGTGGAAATAAAGTTCCATGTGCGCGCATGTACAAATAAAAAAGACTTCACAGCAATTATATTCAAAGGTGAAATATATGCATATAGAGGTGCAATATATGCACAGAGGTGTTATATGCGCATACAGAGGTGCAATATACACATGAAGGTGCAATAGATGTAAATAAAGAAACAATACTGTACATGTATAAAGGTACAAATACAGTGGTGCTAAATACACTTTTACAGGTTGGTGTTATAAATATCAGATGATTAGCCTATATCTAAAATGTACCCTAAGTCCCTTTGCATTCGTTCAACTTCACTTCTAAAAGAGAACTTCGTCTTCACTCTTTCATTTTACAAAAAATCTCTGATCTCATCGAGCCAATTAGAGCCTGCGTCAAAATATGGACGACTTTCTTTATGGTCATTTCCTCTGACATCCCCGCAAAGTTAGTGAGCACATATTTTGCGCCTGTTCCTTCCATTTTGCTGATTGGTTGAGAAAAGATCAGCGTGGTAGATTTGAAATTATTTATTACCCGGGCTGTCACAGGCACCAATCTTCGGGGTGGGGCTGCTAAACTGAAATATAGTTTATACTAGGCAGAGTGTAGTTTATAACTAGACTCTGCGCGCAGGGTATCTAAAATGTAGTTCTTTCAAACAATAATGATTAATTTATAAATTACACCCCTATTCCAAAGATATTGTTAGACCACTATAATACCATTATTATAAAACCAGCTCATGTAGTGAGACGTGGAGGTCTGAATTAAATGAGTAATAGAATAGAAATTCAAATATCTGAGAGTTTAAATAGGGATTAATCTCGATTGTTTACAATAAAACTTAACAGTTAAATCGAGTCATGATATATTTCTAAATTTGACTCTCATTCCATAATCCATACCACGCTTAAATCCAAATTCTTTTAGGCATTATACTAAAAAGGTGATTGTTATGATTTCATATGGTATTTTTGATGATCTACTTTCATAAGTATATTCCCATTACTTATTTTTACTTATTCCACCGCTCCTTTTAATTTTATTAGATAAACTTTGTAGGTATTGATAAATTAACTATAGTTAAACCTGTATATTTGAACACCTCTCTAATCTGAACACTTGTCAGTGTGAACTCTATACTCGTTTTATTGAAATTTGAACACCTTGAAATGTGAACACCTGCCAATCCAAACACTTAGTTTTTGGATTAGATATTTTACCATAATGAAAATGACAGTTACCATAATTATTATATTCACGATAATTTAGTCTTCAAAATATATAAATTTGATTACTGATGGTATTTGTAAAGATTATCATCACTAAGTTGCTTGAGCAAAGCAACGCTCGGGTGTTTGCGATCTTGTTACATATCTTCAGAACTGATGAAGAAACGTCAAAGCTGGTGATCAAAAAGAAATTACAGGCTTGAGCAGTTATCAGTCTAGCCGGCCTGCATCATAGTGATTGAGCCAATGTATCACTGAGGCACTTCTTGGAGGTGAAATTAGATTCAATATTGCATATTCCCTGTGTATTATTTCCCATGAGTCACTTTTTTAGTATAAGCAGAATTAACAAGGTATAAAATAAACAAGTATTAATTTCAAGCTCTTATACACCTTTCCATAAAGTCCCATCATGACTTTATGGAAAGGTGTATACAGAGATGTAAAAAATACTAAGTACACTTAGAGGTTATTTGTAAAGGAAAAATAATATGGAATAAACTAGAATTACTGTAAGCATTGGTTTTATATCCGTGTATTCCTATCACATTATATTTCTGGAGGTCACCTTGACAATCTATAAGCTAACCACAACCACTTTGCTTATAAATTATCTTGTCATGGAGGTCATGTTAAAAGTGAAAAATAGAATGTAAATGAGCAAGAATAGGTAATACGCATAGCTACTGGCTGAGAGAAAATAAAGATATTAGTTGTCTATTGTCTCCTCATTGTAACGTATGCTCTATCATAGTTAATATGCACACAGAAACATTCAGTTTGTAATACTAAATCATGTAATTTTAATCATAGTATGGTGAATTTTCACCTACAGTCTTGGTGATAGCATACATTTTTTCTCGATATGAATAAACTAACTCAGATCAGCCATCTTTACCACATAAAGATACAGCCAATTTCTATATCTTGTTCTTTTGGACATTTTTTCAACTGTATCAAAATGTTGCCTATGTCACACTACTGAAAATTGATTTCTTTTACATTTCCTTTTATGAATACCTCCATAATATGACACTTCAAAAGTCCTGTTAGTATTACCTATTCACTTTATGTACAAATACAACTATTGGTGGAACATGCCCATGCAAAGTAGAGTATTTGGGAGGTATGAAGGTGTTCTACTGGTTAACCTATACCATACATTGATAATAAGGTTCATTTATTTTTTATAAAATTGCAAACTCAGGAAAAGTAGAGTAAAAAATTACCATTAGAAACAAAGACTTTTTATTAACTAAACTAAACACTTAATGTGTTCCTTATCCTAGTGTAACACGAGTCACTTTAACTTAAGTTTAACATTTATATTTGCAGTTGTGCTGATAGGAGACAGTGGAGTAGGAAAGAGTAACCTGCTTTCTAGATTTACCCGCAATGAATTCAACCTAGAAAGTAAAAGTACAATAGGAGTAGAGTTTGCCACTAGGTGAGTAGCATAAGTGATGACATAGTCACTTTTTTGATCAGCATTGGTATCTGTAACAATTGTCACACTTTTGTAACCATTTGTTATAACTTATCATATGACATTTATGTGTTAATTATTGTGATGCCTTATTCCAATGGTAATAGTTGAAGTTTGGGATAAACATGACCCTCATAGCCAATTTCTTTTTGCCCAATGGTTATTAATTAGGGCTATTGTTTAACAATAAATCATGACTGAATAACTTAGGTTGTTAGTTGTTACGTCATAAATTCTGGCAGATATTATATTATCTAATTTCCTAATTAGGATTGTGTGACCCTTAATGTTATATTTGCTGATCACGTTTGAGTGTGAAAGGTCCTGTCCTGTGATAACAATGTGCATGATTCCACTTTAATGTTTAGAGATAGTCAATGATACACAAACATCTAGTTAGCAGTGCTTTCAATTGTACAGAAATATCAGAAATGTAATACAGGTCATTCATTTTGAGAAGAAAATGTTGTGCATTAAGTATGAACAATGAGAATGTTTCAATTTTTTTTTTCAATTTTATTTATTATACCATCACCCAAATAAAGGGTATTAAGTTGTTGTTTTTTTCACAACAAACTCTTTAATATAAGAACGAGAATGCCTCTCTCAGTTTTTGGTCGCAACATTTAATACTGAAGTCAATTATTTTCCTTGTCATTAGTTCATCTTTATTGGTTCATACCCAATACAAAAATAACATTGTGAAAATGTCCACCTGTAAGGTAATGATTACATATTCATTTGTTCTCTTTATGCTTTTAGGAGTATACAAGTAGATGGTAAAACTATAAAGGCACAAATTTGGGATACAGCTGGACAAGAGAGATACAGGGCCATCACCAGTGCGTAAGTATAGGGTGATCTCACTAGAATTTTTCTCAAATTCAAATTATCGCTGAAATCCTATTTCAAAATGACAAAAATAAGTCTGATATACAGGGAGAAACTACATCAACTCAACCACCCTTCCATCTTTACTCGATGCCATACTTTTTACTTTTGAAACATGCTTTTTAAAATTGGAGAAATTGGTGTGATCTCCCCCTTAAGTTTCTCAGTCTTGCCTATCAGTGTTCCCTTATCTGAACCTGTGTTAGAAAGAGAATGGGGAGAACACCAGGCAAGGACTTGATGTATGAATTTAATGAACATTGAACATGTACAATAAACACCCACAAACATGAAATTAGGTCTCCGTGCCATTGAAGTCTGCCCATTACTAATTCAAAAATGTATTTTCAGGTACTATCGTGGTGCAGTGGGAGCACTACTAGTGTATGACATAGCCAAACATTTAACTTATGAAAATGTAGAGCGATGGTTGAAGGAACTGCGTGACCATGCAGATAACAATATAGTCATCATGTTAGTTGGAAACAAGAGTGATTTGAGGCATCTACGGGCTGTTCCAACAGATGAGGCCAAGGCTTTTGCAGGTTTGTAACTTAGGTTGACATTTATTTCGTCCCCCATTTTTACTTCACATGGTTGAGCTTTTGTTTTGATCAACATCAGCAGTCAGGTTCTGTAACGAATTGTTAAGACTGTCACTTTTGTAACCATTTTCAATAACTTACATTGTAGTATCATCCTGTCATGTTAATACCCCGATTTTTGAAATGACATCTCTTGATTGGTCTTACAACATTTCACGGGTGTATTACCCTTTTAAATTCATGATAATGGTAAATTACTCTATCAACTCAAACCGTTAAGCAACTATGTTTATTCTCAGATGATTTCCCATGTACCTTCACAAGCTGCCTCTGTATATATCATTAGTAGTTTTTTTCCCTGAAAAATAATGTCTATTTGTTTCTTTATTTCAGAAAAGAATAACTTATCATTTATAGAGACTTCGGCTTTAGACTCCACAAATGTAGAGACAGCCTTTCAGAATATACTAACAGGTGAATATTATTAGTTTTGTATAAGTCATGGTCATACTGTTTTAAAATACAAAAGAGAGTAGAATCAGCAGGAAAATAGGAAAACAGGGATGTAATCGACATTCTAAATTATATTGTTATGCCAGACTATCAAAAACAATGACAAAAATATTGAAGGGTAGAATGCGTTTTACTCTGATTTTTAGAGAAATCAAATGTTGAAAAACTTTGCAATTGTTTCATGTTTAAATTATATTCCGATAACAGATCATACAGTATTATTATGTCACCACTAACCCCCCTATCACACCAAACTAGTTCTTACCCGTTCTTGCCAGTCCTACGAAAACGTCGTAAAACGGGCTCAATCTGGATGTGGTCGGGAAATATGTCTGAAATAATTAGCTTCTTCGTTCTTAAACAGTCTTCAATACATCCATCTCGTTCGCAGTTCGTTCAGGTCGCACCACGTCGGTGTGCAACGTAGTAGAACGCGTCCCTTAGTCTAGAAGGTCAACATGACCTGATTACAGAACGGCATGGTCGCCATCGAATTTTGAATCGATTCAAAATTCTAAAATCACATTCCCGTCTGAGAACGTTCATAAAGTTCGTAAATAGACCTTAGAAAGTTGCAGCTACGTTAATTCCGTTCGCACACAGTTTAAAACCAGTTTTGGAGAACGCAGTGGCAACTTGTTTGGTGTGATAGCTATATTTTTGCTAACTCGTTCATAAGCAGTGTTAAATACGTTCTTAATCAGTTTAAACCCGTTTGCAATTAGTTCTACCTCGTTCTAAACACGTCCTCAGACAGTTCAACTCGTTGTTAAAACGTCCCTAGTAGGATTGAAGTACGACGGTTTCGTTCGTAGGACGTCCAGCTCGTCGTTAGTACGTTTTCACTCGTTCTAATTGTAGAACGTGACGACCACGAGAACATTTTGAGCATTGTCTGAGTTCTAGAGGACCTACCCGTTCGAGTACGTTCAATGAAGTTTGTAAATAGATCCCAAACGGTTCTTAGTAGGTCCAGTCCGTCCGTACACAGTTGAAGCCCGTTTTCGAGAACGTAGTGAGAACTAGTTTGGTGTGATAGTAGGGTTAGGTGACATATTGTTATGGTCTCCAACTTTTTTGTGGATTGTGTCTGTAACAAACTCTTGTAACAAAATCTTACAACTACCACTTACTTAACAAGTACTGTTTAGACTGGTTTACATTTTTTTCACAATCATCTGACTTAGATTTTAGATTTGACCTTCAATGACTTTCTCAAGGTCAAAAAAGGTATTTTTCGAACTTGCTTCAAATTGATCAATTTTTGTAAAATCATCTACAAGTATTCAAATATTCAAATCTGACTTTATTTTTGAGATTTGACCTTCGGTTGACCTTCAATGACCTTCGAAACGTGGTGACATTTTGTCATGTTAATGTCTCGTCTATAACTGTTGTCATTCCCACGCTATCAAACAATTGTGAAGAGCTTGCTTATCTCATTCAATTTATTTGCAAATAGAACATAGATGTCATGTCATGTAAACAAACTGATAACATTGTAACAAAGCATCATTGATCTAAAATCTTATCTAGAATCGGTGTAATTGAAATAATTATTTTTGTGAAATCCATAAACTAGAAATAGACTACTTTTACTTGGTAGCAAGTGTTATATTTTAAAATACACATTTAATAGTATATATATTTATACATATACTTTCAGAAATGTATAACAAAATGTCATTTTTCATTGCAGAAATATACAAAATAGTTTCCCAGAAACAAATTCGGGATAGCCCAGATGATGAAAATTCACCTAGCAACAACGTACAGACAATTACTGTAGCTCCTACAGACAATTCAGGAGAGAAGAAGAAAGCTTGCTGTACCTAATTCTAGCGGCCTACCAGTGAATAAAGGAACAACATCTATAAGGATATTAAACAGCCCTTATAAAGGGTTCATATAACCTTTAGATGGTCATACATTTCCATGAACATTATAGATGGCGTGTTAAATGCTCTTCATTATGTAAAATGTCGGATTTTAACTACATCATCGCTAATGGATTACGCCTACCCGCACATTTTGCAGTCTCGCTGTGTCTGTCAATGCCTTAAAAAGCAGGGGGTTGTTTTCATGAAAGTATTATGAATTTCATAATTTTACAATGTTTTTATTGCAAAATTGTGAAATTAATTTGAATTACATTAATTGTAAATCAGATTATTTTCTACAAGCGACCTCGAGGATTGCTTTAAAAGGTGTTAAATTTGTTTCTATTGGTGTTACTATAGTGATGCTAAATTGTCCATATAAAGATGTATAGAGCGAATCTTTTGTATGCTATAATTGTAAATTTGTAAATTGATAAACCGCTCATATTGCATGGTAGTGACTTGATATATTTTTTTGTATGGGAAAATAATGTATTCGGTTTGTTAATTTGGGCATATGTATAATTAGAAAATGTAAACTAATGCTCGATACTACTAGGTTAGAGATACTGATGTACTCCAGTGCAAATGTGCAATTTTAACTTATTATACAATAGTTTATATCTATTGGTTTTCACTCCTTGAACAATATGGCTATTAAAACAGTGTGAAGATATGTGGTCAGTGGATTTCAGCTTTCAAATATGGTTTTGAATGGTAAAACCTTTAAAAATGTTAAGGAGCAGCTCAAGTAAGTGTTCACATTTTAATGTGTTCGCATTTGGCCATTCTTTTGCGAGGATAGAATATAATCACTTTTGAGGTGTTCGCTGTAGAGGTGTGTTCACTTGAGAGAGGTGTTCACTTCAGTAAGACATTCTCTTATGAGATATTCACTCATGAGGTATTCATCTTGGAGATGTATTCACTGAGATCCATTTATATATGTGATGTACTATCTTGTATGAGGAGTGAAGATTACACTGTATTTCCTAGGTTTGTTTCTGAACAAATTGAATTGGGTTGAATTGATGTCGAGATGTTGATAATTGTGTATTTATGTATACATATATTACGATCAATCAAAGTATAGACCACTCAGTCGTCATCATACTCCCAGTGATTTCTTATTTGATTAATTTCAGTTCAGTTTTACAGTCTCATGTGAGAATGGAGATAAGTCAGTGATGGGCAAACATAACTCTCTATTGAGTTTTATTGTCTGTTTTATTGCTTGTCACGTTCTTAGTGGGCATAATGTTATTGCAAGTTCCCTACCTTGCATTCATTAAACCACTTTAGATTCAATTAGTCATGCTTAAAATACTTTGACTGTATGCTAGTGTTTGCCATTGTGACGTCACATGGACTCCATAACAACTGGAGTGTAACAATTTGAGTGGTCATAGAAATTGCTGTAATCTTGAATTTAGGGTATGATTTTGTAGATTGTGTGCTTACTTACATGTGACATGCATATGGTTAAAACCAAGGTCATTTGACTAAGCTGAACCAATGGAATTCATTATGTGTGGTCACATCGGCTCTACACGTAGAATTCAACTATTGATCCATATTTTTTGATTTGATTTCATAGATTTTGTACAGCACCCATGCCTGATGTTAAATATTGTATTTATTGAGTGCTTCAGAGTATTCAGCTGATGTAACTGAGATGGGTATCCCTGTATTTAAAGGCTATGCCGTGAATTCAAATTTTAGAGGTATTTACCAAAAAGGTACAGGATAAATTTTCTGGTTTAAGAGAACAAACTTGCTACATGTTTTAAAGATTTGAAATCGTTGTCCATTTCATTTCATAAAATACTAGATTCTGTGCAGTTGAATAGGTATAACAACTTTTAATCTATAGATGAATTCTTGAAATTGAAAACTGATTTGTGTAGTCGTCCATCTGTTACCTCTCACAAATGTTGGTCTCACAAGATTTTAAATACTTTAGACAAGATAGTTAACTAGATGATGTAAAGGACCCCCCCCCCCCAAGACACTGGATTGCAAATCAATGTAAATATCAGCTTCAAGTACCAGACAGACAAACATTTCAGAATTGTCATATTTGAGGATATTTCATTGAGCAAAATGTGTTTCAGCTTTGGTGAACTGTATGCATTAGATTGATTTCTGTGAGGTATATTACATTGGATTTGTGTCCAGAGTATAGTTACCAAGCCTAGATTTATTTACATGATTTGTATAAAGAGCATGTGTATAGCTGCCATTGGGCATTGTATAATATGAATATATAAACTTAATTTACTCTGTATATTATGTTAATTATTGTCATGTTGCTTGATTTAGATTATATTCAAAAGGTTTCTAAAAATACAAACATGATACATACAGTCCAATAAAAATAGTACATATCGTATATATATATATATGGTACATATAGTGTAGTATCTCATACTTGAGTGGGTTTGGGGTAGATATCACCCGGGAATATATATCGTATCTGAGGAGCGGGCAGGATATATTGTATATGTCCCGCTCCAGGCCAAATGCGGGCAGATATAATATATATCCATATTCAAAAGTTTAAAAAAGTTTAAATATCAAAAGTTTAAAATTTTAAAATTTAATTTTTTTAAGTTTAAATGTTACAATTTCATTGTATTGAACAAAAAGAATATTACGAAAATGTTAAATATAAATATCTTGTCATTTGAAAAAGGTGGAAAAGGTTATATCTACCCTAAACCCACTCAAGTATGAGATACACCAGTTATGCACGGTCGGTTTGGATACATGGTATATCCCTCGGGATATTCCCTGTATCCAAAACCTCCCAGTACATAACCCCTATTAATCTTGCTCCTAGATCTGGACATTTTAGAAAAATTTTGAATTGATATTGGAGATTTTAAGCAATGCATATAAAATCAAAACGTCAACCTGTACACACAAGTTGCCCAACACAAATGCATGTAGTTTTCTCACATAAATAATCGTTCAGTTACAGTGTTTACTTACTCCGTTACATAGACCACACAACATCGTGTAATATGACTTTGATAAGTTATATCAAGCTATTTTTCTATGATACATATTTTAAATAAGCTCGTTTCGTAAGATATTTGGATCTAAAACACATATGACATGCAAGATTTTCTTCAGAAAGCATTTTACTGTGCATTGAAATCAAACTTGTCAGCATAGTATTCAAAAGTCATGAGTTTAATGATTCCCGTTCCCACCAACGTGAAATTGCAAATCTCCCGTTATAAACACAGCTCTGAACCATTTGGGTATTTGAAGGAGACCAAGTAGCGCTTGCCTTGTATGTGCGCTATAATTACTGTATTGATTCATTGACTTTGCGTTCACGGTTACGTTGTGAGAAATATCGAAAGCTTAAACTCTCTATTATCTTGAATAGATGGCATTGTCAAACGTTTTACAAGTCTAAACATACTACTCTTTCTGGAAGTATACTCCCATCATTCATCATCCCATAATAAATGCACGAATAACCACAAAAATATGCCTGATGTCAGACAAATTAGTTACAAATGATGGTCATGTTATTAGTTAGACGTTCCACGCTAGGCAAACATGATTAAGTTTGGGAATGATAAAGCTTGGCGTGAACGATCACGAAGGGACAAACTTCAAGAGAAAACTCCCAACCACTCTCAACCACAGCATCTTTCATGTGGTGATGAATATATATCATGTACATTTTATCAGTGCCTCGCAACAATTAAAGCTTGGTGAATGCATGAACCCCCCCCCCCCACCCTATATTCCAAGTCCAAAAGCCATGAAAAGCACGTTCAACCCTTTTCGTGGAAGCATTGAGTTTTATCAAGGAATATCATCATTATGTATCTGATAATTGTTCTGAATTTCATCGATGTAATTATTGTCTGTGTGGTTAACCATCGTATAATAAATTAGAATACCACACAAGGCAGGTTGTTTTGAAATTCAAATGAATACTGGCAAATGAAATGCTTACGTGTATGTACTGCATCTACGTTCTAAGTATTTCCATCTAATCCCCTTCTGTAACATTTGGTATCCAAAAATTCCCATAGGATACCGTGTGTGAACGATTAAAGAATTCAGAGCACGTGATGGAGAATTTTGAAGGAAACATCAGAGTTCCGGACCTCTTATAAGGTTAACAAACACCAACATCCCGAACTATGATTTTACAGGCAAAGAAGGACTTATACAAAAACTACACAATCATCTCCAATAATTCACGATGGATCGTAATTGACTTTATTATGAATTTGAATAACGTAGGTAGTTACCAGTTTTACAATCAGGTGGCTCGTTCGGGTCAGATAGCATGGCGGATATAGAAGAACGTTCCCTTTAAGTTAAATCACATCTGTTTAATGGCTCAATCACCCTTATCCATCTAATAGTTATGTAAATTAATATATGTCCAGTAAAGGAAAATGTTATCTGTCCAATACAAGAAAAGATATTTCCCTTTTTGTGATTTTATAACATGGGGTCTATGGGAGATCTCCCCGAACTAGAAGTCTCATTTTCCAAAAAATTAAATTTTAAAGTTAAGTTGATAAATATTTTCAAAATTATATTTCTAGATCTATGTAGTTTTACAAGGAGGATTGGAAGCCAGGGTTCCAACTCGATATTCTTTAATCTCCACGCATGCGTCATTTGCTATTCGTGTCTGTATAATTTGTACGACTGCATGGAGAATGACCCGATACTCTCCAACAAAGCTATCGCTAGGTGATTGTTTTGTAGAATATCGGTGTTGCATTCTGGGAGCCAATCCTCCTTGTAGTTTTACATGTAGATTTCAAATATGACATCACTTTAACCGAATTTGAAACATTTAATGTCGGAAATCAAGATTATTTCTACTCGCATCTTATCTACTTTAATTTCATATTTTGATTAATAATAGTACTAACCTGAAAATTATCATATTATTTAAAACTATACACCACAAAATGCGCCATCGATAGAAATAGATTTATTTTGCATATGAATGACTCTAATCCAATGAATATATTAACGTATTTTTATTAATAAGAATAACAAAATTGTATATTATATTACATCCACTGTGTACACCGCAAACTTTGTTAGATCTACCTCCCGTTTTTACCTTGCATATAAAGGTTAACGTGAGACCCCCCCCCCCCCCTCCTCCCAGGATCGGCCATTTGATAAGCAGTAATTTAGCAGGAATTGTGATTTTGACATAGTCCTGGTTTGTATGAGTTGCTCCAGCGTATAGAATTTGACAGCCCAATTTTTGTCAAAAGTGTTTTGTAATTTGACAATCAACACAAGTACACATCAAACCTAACCATCGCATAAACAGGCGTCAGCGTCACACCGGAATACCCTGACAACGGTAAAGTCAGATACCGTTGTCACAAATGGCGGACATAACCGTTGCTTCAATTAGATTTTCATGAATTTTATATCATGAATATGATGTAAAATCGGGGTGACAATGGTAATATTTGACAACGGTATTATGTAAAGACAATGGTAACGTGTCTATTTACCATTTACCATACCAAGTTGTCATTCCCTATGTTCCACCATAGTCCGTTGTTTGTGATCTCGAGCACAAGAAATTTTAAATGTTTTTAGACCCCGTGTGATATGCTAGATCTTTTCAATAGTAGGTCTACTTTTTGCAAGATTTTTGTGCCTCTGTTATTTTTCTAGCTTGGGTCACAGATAAATTACACTTTTTGGCGTAAAGATAAAGATAATTGGGGGAGAGAGTCAAACTTATAATAGTGGGAAGTAATCTTTATATATGGCTCTGTTGGTTGTTAATCATTTAACAGATTGATCATGAGTTCCCTTTCCAACATGCTTTATTTCATGAAATATGTACCTTTGTTGAGGGGGGGGGGTTATTTGGGTTAATTGTATCACTAATTACGGATATGTTTCTTTTCTTTAATCTGCATTGTCGTATTGCACGGTACACGATGGAATCAGACAATACTATGTATCTTTTTCAATTATTCAAAAAACTGCTTAAAGGACTCATTAATGTTAAAAAATCTTTCATTGTTATCTGGAAATCAGTCGTCGTTCGAGAAAATAAACATTTTCATTAGAAAAGAGAGAATGAGTTATGTCGAAATTTAAAGATCGGCTTTCCATGGTGATTTTATATACTAGTAATGAAAACACTCGAACATTTTAAGTACATTACCATTAGCTTAGAAAGGTATGACCACTGACGTTTCACGAGCATAAAATAGGGGCTTTGATAAAGAAGATTTGACACATTTTTGGGCGTAGTGTTGAATTTACACCTTCCTATGCCCCTGTTAAACATCCAACCTATTGGATTAATAATAACCTTAAAATAGTTTCTCGGGATGAAAGATAAATTGAAGTTAAATCCAAACCCTGTATGATGGTGGGTACAGAGATTAAAAAAACACTATTAATTCATCGCGAATTCACAGAAAAACCAAACACATACCATTGTTGATTTAGCCTTACACAAATAATCTCGCTCCCGGATCCCACAGAACCATGAACAGATGAATGAATTATAAAACAAAAGAATTAATTTACACAAATAAGACAAAATCATCCGATGACCAAAACCACAGAGCTATGTTCTGCTTTATACCTGTCGCATTTCATACAGACGTGCTGCGTAACACCGACAAAATGAAACAATTTGTGATCATTCTCGCATGTGTTGCTTTCATTGCGGCTCAGACATGCAGCAAACAAGACGTTGATGATCTTTCCGAAGAAGTTGCTAAACTAAAAGCAGTACTTTATAATGCGTTTAAAGGTAAGATGCGAAATTCTAATTTACATACGGTCTTTCTGGGAGAATACTAGAAACTTGAATAAAAACACAAAAAGAAACTCCACATTATCCCAAACACTAACAACATTTTGTTAACGCACACTCTTTACTGAAAATATTTCAAACTTTAAGTCATCTTAATCAAGGCATTAACATGCAAAATGTCACCACTATTATGTCACCACATCACTACGTGTGGTGGTGACATAGAAGCTTTGTTTGCAACACAACTAATGAGATCAAGATTTTGACGACGTGTTTCACTTCATAGAAGGTGTTCCACTTACAGAGCTACATTAATTTGATTGGGGCACGATATCTGTGAAATCTTCTGTACTCTTCTTTTACTTCAGCACTGGAAAAATCAAACTAAAAAAATCCAAAATGTTAGACCATTGAGTGACTTCGAAGTGTCATAAACATAAACAATATTAATTTTAGTGCTTGAAATACACACTCCAAATAACAATAAGTACCGCCACAAACCTATCGATGTGCGTGGAAAATCGTTCTTTGCATTCTCTGTGAAAGCCTGCAATGATGCCCACCTAGAACTTCAGCTGACCCCTGGTAACACACGAACTAATAACTATGAGATTATGATCCATGGTTACAAATATAATCCAAAATCTGGAATACGTGACAACCTGGGAACTATGTACGCTTATGAATCGGCCAAGGTTTTGGTCAATGGAAAGCGCCTGAGCTGTGATGAGATGAGGCCATTTTGGGTATTATGCTATCATTTAAAAAAATTGCACTTTGCATTTTAAATTGTCTATCTAGTTCTTGATTTTGTCATGAAGAAGATGTTCGATAATTTAGATGGGTTAACAAAATCAATTAATGACGTATTATACTTCACACCAGTGAAAACTGTCGAACGCTTTTGTATCTAAGGTAAGTTGGGCTGGTGGAAACATTGAAGTAGGAACGGGGAACGTATATGGATGTGGAATATTCATGTCGTGGAAAGATCCAGCACCACATGCAGTAAATGCCATTAACGTTATGACAGGATGGGGTGCTGAGGGAGACTGGATTGTCCTAGGTACGTGTACATTTTTTGTTCCATATCGAGGCATTGATTTCCACAGCATTAAAGCAAGTGGGCGCTGCACCACCTGAAAATCCATTTGCACCTAAAAATTGAAATCGGCATATTTTGACCTGAATTGTGAAAATGAGAATTTTGCACTCGAATGTGAAAATCCTGGAGAGACAGTATGCTAGGATGTTAAATGAAAACATCTATAGGATGAAAATGCATTGGAGAGTGATACTCTTGATAACAATACAAGTTAATAAATCGGATGACATGCATAATAATATAATGTTAATTAGTTTCCCTATTATTGCGGCAATGCAAATCGTGACATTGTATGCTCTATTTTTATTTTTAGCATAATGAAAATGGCTGCAGAATACCGCAGTATATCATGTATAAAAGGAACTAAAGGGCCCACGTGGAAATATCAATTGTAATAATTAGTTATGCAAATTACATAAATGAATAAATCGGTACAAACAGATAATTTGTTTTGTTTTCGCTCGCATTTACTGTAAATCTGTATAACACGAAAAATGCCCTAGAGCGTCGTCTACTTGATAAACATAGGAGACACTGACAAATCATACTGGATCATACAAGGAATTTCGAAATATATTGAAAATGCATGAAAAACAAGCAAAAAATCTTTTGCAAAATATGCAAAAAAATGTGAATATTAAGTATAAAAACATTCTTCGAAACATCCCGTCTAGTTTCGCATTTAATTAAGCAACGGACTCAATGCTTATTTGTAAAATACATGTAGGTTTACAGTGTACATCATACAAGTTAATTTTTTTTTGCCTCATTGTTAAAACAAAAACAATTGAGTCTGGTGCTGTTATCCTTTTTACACATAGCAAAACAATTTTATACAAGCCATTAACATGCAAAATGTAACTACCTACCATTTGTTACAGACGCCGTCCACAAAATGTGTGAACGGATTTGCTTCATATTGGGTGGATAATATATTGGTGAATAGTTTTAAAGGGTGACGCATTTCGTTTAGCAAATCGAACGCTCGTTTCTGGTGTTGCTCACCGTTTAGTATAAAAGGCCCGATCCCGGAATAATACTCAAGGGTTCACAGGTTCGATGTCGTTGTGTCAACACCTCTAACTGTTATATAGCATAAGTATATCATAGATCGTCACACATTTATAAAAGGATGATTTTTATTTTGACAAATCAATTCTAAATTTATGGGTGAAGTTTCAGGATCTTCTATTTGTGTATAATAAGGAAAAATTGGCATCTAAATTTCCCCATAACGTAATAGCACACAGCTTGGCATATGAAATATCCTACAAATGAAACAAAGCATTTCTAATACAAGGATTTATATTGGCTGTTGTACATGTACTGTTTGAACGCAATCACTCCATTGATAACGTTTTCAAAATCATTATAAACGGATTACTTTATCTCAAAGACAATTTCAATAAACTTGATTTTACAGAACTCCCCTTATTTCTTAAAAATGGACTGATCCAGTTGATTCGCCTGGAGCCACCATATTGTTTTTATACGGGATGCTTATCGGAACCCTTTAAGCAAAGAAATTTTAGGATGGCCGCTACTTTAGGAATGGCGGGAATTTTTTTCAAAATCTTTTCACATCAGCCCTTACCATGGGATTTGATTCTATGTTTCAGATTAACAAATCTTGGTAGTATATTCACAACATCTACCTATTTCACATACTTCCTGAAATATAGCTTCATTATACTCAAATGAAAGACGACTTAAAGCTGACTGCAAATTTTGTATCGTGTTTTGGTTCAGGCCTCGTAAAAATCATGGCACACTTTATGTGGGATTTCGCAATACTTATCCGATCTCTTCAAAGTATGGCTATATTATACTCAAATTGAAGGAATCTTAGATCACAATTATGGTGTTGTTTTCCTATTTGTGCTTCAGAAAATTCAAAATGGCTGCCTGGAGCAAGAATTCGGTATTCCTTCGAGATCTCTTCAAAATATGGTTACATTATCTATTCTAGATCTTAAAATATTGTAAAGTGTAATTTGTTTAGCGATCGCACCCCACCCCCTTCCTGACTAAAAGCTGGCTACGCCCCTTGGTACCCACATGTTTCGAAAAGATAACCATCGTTTTCGACCCAATACTAGTAAGCAGACATGACAAAATTCACATTGAATGAACTAAATAATTCTAAAGTTTCAAAGCAGAATATGCAATTAATAGCCTTGCTCAGGTCGGTCTCTTTTACTTATTTCATTGATTTCTGTTATGATTATTAAAATTCAAGACCAGATAATAAAAAAAATATCGACTTGGGCAAGGCTGTATATGAAAGATTGACCGAAATATCCAACTTTTCTTCGGTCCTGTATAATTAGCTAGAATGCTTCAGCAAACATCATCCTAAGCCAGGTGTCCAGAATCCGTAAGAAAGAAGATATTCTGAATTCTGAAGCCCTGTGATCGGAGGATGTGCAGCAAATGACAGGCAGGTTATGTTGGAACAAATACTAGTGCAATAAGTGTATGTGCCTACGTGTGTATCTCTAAAGGACTCCAATTCAATGAATTTTTATTACTTTAATTAGAGTATCAACGTTGTAAAATATCATTTTATTTCACCATAAACGTTGTTGCAGCAAATGCCAAGGTTGTGATCGAATTAAACAAAAACCGATGCCTACGTGTATCTCTATTAAAATCACCTGTAAGCTTTTAATTATATTTCATTACTTAGAATATCAACGTTGTAAATTATCGTTTTATAAAACCACAAATTTTGTTAGATCTTCCTCCATTTCTACCTTGCATTATATAATGCACAAATTCAGAGATTAGCATGAGACCTCCCCAATGCTTGGAGGATCGGGAACTTGTAGACTGGCTATTGGTCTTGCTTCAAGAATCCGAGGCCTTATTCACAAAGCATCACAATTTTTAGCGATTGCTATTGTTATGCGATAGCGATATAACCATAAGGCTGTCTAAGGAGAGTCTAAGGAGAACGAATATTATTTAATAGAAACGTTCAGACAAACGGCCACACACAAATTACCTCGCTCCCGGATCCCATAAAACTATGAATGAATGCACTAAAAAGTAAAACAAAAGATTTGATTTGCACAAATGATACATTAAAATCATCCGATGGTCAAAACCACATCGCTGTGGTATATAAACTGTGTTTTTCTCGCATTTATGCAGACGTGGCGCGCAAGTAAGAATCGCATCAATCAAGACGGCAAAATGAAACAATTAGTGATCATTCTCACATGCGTTGCTTTCCTTGCGGCTGGTCGTAGGTCTAATACATGCAAGAAAGGAGACGTTGAAAAGCTTTCCAAAGAAGTTGCTAAACTAAAAACAGTACTTTATAATGCGTTTAAAGGTAAGAAGCGAACTTCTATTTTGCATAACACAATTGGAGGAGTAGACAAGCAACTCAAGTGCCAAAAAAGAAGATCAAAGAGCTTTATAAAACACAAAAAGAAAAAGAAAACTCAACAGTAAACACATAATCTTCAGATCTTTAATGAGGGTATTTTAACCTTTGTATGATATAAACTATAAAGCTATTTAAATATGGGTTAATTTGTTTTCATACATGCAACACGTTACTTCTATATTCTGTCAGCAGAAGGTTTAAAGTGCGACGACAGGGTTCTATCATATTATTTTGGTATATAGTATATGACGTGTATATTCACGAGGAACATCTTTCCGTGTAATTTTTGGTGCAAAAAAGATGCTATAGTTAAACATGTTTGAGTTTTGAGACCACAAAAATTCTTCCACTTTATAGGTGGTTTACTTACCGTGATACATTAAAATGAAGCGATGCGGCCCCGGTCAGGTATCTTTGAAAGCTGCCCCACCGTCCGTTCTCTTCCTACTTCTTTTAAATGAGTTTCATAAACATGATAAATATAAAGAATATGTTTATTTTAGTGCTTGAAATACACACTCCAGATAACAATGAGTACCGCCACCCACCTATCGATGTGAGTGGAAAATCGTTCTTTGCATTCTCTGTAAAAGCCTGCCATGATGCCCACCTAGAACTTCAGCAGACCCCTGGAGACACCCAAACTGATAACTATGAGATTTTGCTCCATGGTTACGCATCGGATCCAAAATGTGGAATACGTGACAACCTGGGAACATTGTTCGCTTATGAATCGGCCAAGGTTTTGGTCAAGGGAGAGCGCCTGAGCTGTGATGAGATGAGGCCATTTTGGGTATTATGCTACGAAGCCCTATCATTCAAAAATGATGACGATATATTATCGGCTTTCAATATCTCTTGAATGCCGATGATTATAGCTTGAATAGCGTTAGATGTATATATGTTTCATTTTGCACTTTTTCATTTTAGAATGATGAGTTCTTGATTTAGCCTATAGTCATTGAGAAGATTTTTGATTAAATTAAAGGAGTTCATTAATCATATATCAATGCCATATAACATGGATCTACGGCCCTCAGGCAGATATGCAATATTTGCTTCTGGATACTCCTGATATCTCATACAGGATAATCTCTATACAATTTCACACGAATATCAAGTGAAAACTCTTTTCTTAGGTCAGTTGGGCTGGTGGAAACATTGAAGTAGGAACGGGGAACGTATATGGATATGGAACTTTCATGTCGTGGAAAGACCCAGAACCACATGCAGTAAATGCCATTAACGTTATGACAGGATGGGGTGCTGAGGGAGACTGGATTGTCCTAGGTATGTGTACGTTTTATATATGAAGCTAAACTGTTCCATATCGACCAGTATGCTTGGAATGGAATCATTTGTAGCATCAAAAATGAAAATGCACTGAAAGTACTCGTATACTCATGATTACAAATCAAATAAGTACAATCGGATGTCATGATAATGTTTATATTTAAGCTTAAGAGTTTAAGCTTGCAATGTTCTCATAACCTAAACATTCAAACGGAAAATATTTAAGCGATGCATTTGTATGGGCGATTGATCATACGCATAAGTTGGCGTTTCGATTTTATATGCAAGCTTAAACTCCCTATTATCTTTTTTATTTCTAGCATAGTCTAATGAAAATGGCTGTAGATTACCGACTGCAGTATAGCATATATGGAAGGAACAAAAGGATTTCACAAACTGGTCCGCGTGATCGAAATATATCAATAGCAGTTTGTTGTGCAAATTACATGAATGAATAAATCGGTTCAAACAGATTATTTGTTTTGTGAAAGATAATTCGTATGCTCGGATTTATATTTAAATCCGCATGACATGAAAAATGCCTAAAACGTTGTCTTCTTAATAAACACAAGAGACAGACAATTCACACTGGAGAAAAGTCATACACGTGAAGATGCTGCGGAAGATATAGCCTAGCCTTTATCATTCTATTTGAAAATGCATGAAAAACAAGAAAAAATGTAGACGAACGATTTGAATATTTAAGTTTCGAAACATTCTTTGTTACACCCGGTCTTGTTTAGCATTACAGCACCTGACTCAATGCATGTTCATTATGCAAGTAAATTGTTGTTTGCCTCATAGTTAAAACAACAAGGCAAAGGGTGGATAATATCGTACCTAAACAAAGAAGTGTGGGTTTGTTGACCCAGAAAGCAAGATGGCCGCCAAGATGTTCATCAGCTCTAGAACTTCTTACCTATATGGAACATCTGTCAAAATTTGAAGTAATTCTGTTAAGTGGTTTCCTTGGAATCATGATGACAAGATTTATCTAGAAATTTCCAAAATGGCTGCAATATGGCCGCAGAAAAGTTACTCAGCTCTAGAACTTTTTACCATGTAACATGTGTAAACATTTTAGGAGAATTGGCCACCCTTGTCTTTTGCTTTTTTTGATCACACGTTAGAAGGGAGGATCGTAAACTTTCGAAACGGCCATCTAGAACCTGAATTGAAACTTTCAAAATAGCCTGCCTGCCTGCCGACAGTTGAATTCTATACGTTTTTTATGGTGTTCGAAATCTGAGTATGAATTTTAAAAATGAAGTTAACACTATAGTCCTCAGGTCCTGGCGTCAGAGTTATTATTATCCACTGTAATTGTCAAGTTACTATTGACATCTAGCTGGCTCTAACTACTACAATGAAGAGATTTTGTTTGGGGGGGGGGGTGTACTTGTATATTTGTTTTATTAGTCCAGAAAAAATTGTTCTAGATTTCATATTTTCCACCAGATTTATTATTATCCACAAACACTTTTTACTGCTAGTGCTAATGCATACGAAGTTTCCAAACTAATTAAATCTTCTACGTTATTGAAGAATAAGATGCAGAAAAATGACCCCAAAATGACATCATAAATATCACCACTTTTGATTCTATGACCACTTTAAACAAATTATTATATTAAATAAATATCAAACTGAACATTATTTCGTTTGGGAGAATTGTCAGGATTGTTGAGTCTTAGAATGATTCTCAGAAAACTTCTACATGTAGCAGTCATAAGTTGGCTTTTATTTGCGAATGCAACTTTCGGCTGTCGGCTACCGGATTAACCTACTATTTCATGCACAACTCGTTTAAATATGAAAAGTACCTGTTACTATTCCATTCGTGTTTAAATGAGTTGGACATAGCCGAAAGTTGCATTAGAGTCCGGCAGCCGAAAGTTGCATTCGGGAGCAACTAATTTCTGCCACCATGCCTTGATGTATCAGTCGATGAACTGAGCATCTCACAGCTTTATAACATTGTACAGTGTGAACCAAAAAATGTCACTGATTTTAAAGTGTAACAACTCCTTCATTATTGGCATAATTAGTCTCAGACTTTCCGAGATGACGTGGAATTGATGCAATAAAAATGTACATAAAATCCATTCTTAGTCTCAGAAAGTTCGAGACCAATCTTGCAAATAATGAAAATTCATATGTTGGTGATCTCGCTAACATAGGAGCAACTAAGAGCTGCATACTGTTGTATAGAATTTGAGAAAAAATATCGATATCACCATGGGTCATGTTTTCAGTTCACAAATAATTTCTTTATTTTCAACAGTTTAATGCTATCTCAATTTTTTGTGAATGGAGATTTTTATAGACTGGTCAGGAAAATTAAACTCAACACATTTGTAACTTTTAATTTCCTTAGAATATCAGAATCTATTAAAATAAAGAGCATATTCTTCAGGCTAATGAAGGCTTGAAAACATTAACACTGATGTTTGTGAAATGCCCAATATTCCATATATTTGACCAACAGTGTAGGTACTTTGGTAATATTGAACACTCCCAAATTATTGAGCATCACACATTTCTCAAGATATTATCTATTATGTAATGCTACTCCTCTATTCCACTGCACAAAACATACTAGATTTCTTTGTACATAATTTATTTTGCTCTGTTTTTACACATAAAAGTCCAAAGGATAATGCACTAGAATCGTAGTTTCTGGAAAAACCATCTGTTTTTGCCTGTCTTGTATCTGGAAGTAGAAAACAAACAGGGTAAGATAATGGGTTTATTAATCTCAAAAAGAATTATTTACATATTTCTTGAATCATTTTAATGAAAACCAATCTGTGCAACTGAAAAGCACTCGTCAGAACAGCTAGACTACTATAATCCAATAATTCGGTAGTTTTAGAACCATAGCTAATTTCTTCTAAAAAACAGAAATCTGTATTTGTTAATTTATTGTACATATGTAGCATGGACATTTATGTGCAAAATGTCACCACCTGACATTTGTTACAGATGCCAATGTGTACCGCTGAATACCATAACAACAATATGTTACCACTTCTGGTTGATGCTGGTGACATAATAATATAGATAAAATTAAAGGGACATTCTGAGCCAGAGCATTATTATCCTGATATGATAGCTAAAATAATATATACTTCCCATATTTAGCAAAATATGGGAAAATGTTTTAATATAGTCAATATCAATCATTTAAAAATGTAGTGCTCATTTCCAGTAAGCTGCCATCTTTTAAGATTTCACTCGGGAAGTGATGTCATCTACTCTCAACTTTCATAACCTTGCCTATAACAGCATAAGTAGCAAAGAAAGTGACTTTTAGAAGGATTAAATCACAGGCCTCCTAGATTTCCATCAACGCAAACATCAATTCTGACGTTCCGAACTACGTTCCTTGCACTCGAACCACGATTCTCACATCACAAACGTAAAATCTTTAGTCGCGGACCAATATTTCCTCTACATATTTCTCTACCCAAGCACAGAGATCCGTGCGCTCCTGAACCACTATGTACAAGTGGTTCGCGAGCACAGATCTCTGTGCGCGAGTGTAGAAATATGTTCGGAAGCGAGGAAATAGTGGTGCGCGATTAAAGATTTTACGTTCCCGATATGAGAATCATCGTTCGAGTACAAGGAAAGTAGCTCGTGACGTCAGAACTGATGTTTGCGTTGATGGAAGTCTAGGAGGCCTAAGTCAAAGACAAAGAATATTAAGCTGGTTTTGTAATTCTTAATAGCTCCTTACCCAACACTATATGCAAAGTTGAGAGCCGATGACATTCCTGAATGAAATCTTAAAGATGGCAGTTGAAATTGGCACTACATTTTTAAGTGATCAATACTGACCATATCAAAACATTTTTCTGTGATTTGCTTAACATGGTAAGTATATCTATGGTTATGACTACCATATTAGGAGCGAGATGGTCTGGCAAAGAATATCCCTTTAATCAACATCGATTCAGTTGTTATTCTTACCGTTCTTCAAACTTGGCTTTGGCTTCTCTGCGTGCTTTCCTCTTGAGAGCTGGGTCCCGGAATGCATCCTTGTTAATCAGGTTCTTGTCCATGGGGACATCTACTGAATAACTGAAGCAGAAAGAGAAATATTTAAAAACACAGAATATAGATGTTGAGATGCACATTAATTGAATTCCATGTACTGGGAGTTGGCTGCTATTTTTTCTATAGGGAGCTTTAAAATCAGACAATAAAGCACGCTGAATAAACATGCATACTGTACTTCTATCTACTTAATTTGGCCTACTTTGGCGGATTTGGTGTTTTGAACATTTGGTCAAATTAAAATGGCCGCCAAATTAAGTAGAAGTACAGTACCTGTAATGAGGAAATAATTCATTTTATTGGAAAAACATAATGCATTTTATATTATGATGTAAATTAAAATACATTCAGGACTGGTTACTGGACTGGTTTGTTTTTCATACATAAATCAATATGCTAGTACTTAAGTCCCCTGACAACTGGAATATTTAGAGATGTGATCCAACCAAGGATTCTAGGAACATCTCGATAAACTAAGCGAAATGATGCATAAATATAATTTCCTTACCGAGTTGGCATCAGGTGATTGAAGTTGTAGACCTTTACAAAAGCCTTGACCTTTGACCTCTGTGCGATCCTCTTTTTGCCCATTCTGCGAGTTACAATACGTGGGTACCTTTCAATACCAGCAACTAGAGCATGTCCATAGGGTTTGTCAGTTGTGCCCTCGTCATAGTTCTAGAATGATAAAATTGAAAAATTAGAGCCACATTTCAATCGATTCATCACATCAACTACAACTCCTATTTACAATGACAAAAATTCAATGCTTGTAAACCATTTCATTTCATCATTTCCTTCGAATATTTGTACCTTGCATGGCTTATCTCCCTAATCATTGCCACAGAGTGACTATAGGAAGGTTATGGAATATACAAGGTAATGCCCTCACCAATCCTAAAATCGGGGACAAAGTTGATCTTCAACATTGTGGAAAGGGAATTCACCTCAAGTTCTGTGAAGAACATTCAGCTCCCATATGCCACACAGACAGAGCCACAATGTAGACCAGTTAACTGGACACATGTGGATATCAATGTTGATATATTTTACAACTCGAAATATTGTATCATCAAAATGTTTACATTCAGCTACTGTATATCACTTTAAAATTGCTGCAAAGAGGACATCCCCCAGCTCATTCATGTAATTTAGTATTTACGCTGGCTATTTACTAAGTCATCAATAAAAAGTAGAGCTGGCATCGAATAGGATTTTAATGTTGACATGTCGGAGCTCTCGATCGACAACGATATCGACATT